TCGTCGGTCCATGACGGTTTCGAAGCGGACCCAGGAGGCGAGCCGCAGCGGTGCGGCCATCCTATCTCGGACTGGTATGACGTCAGGGTGACTCAACTTGAGGTCAGTTAGGTTGTGCCGCCCTTTTGGGAGCTGGCACCGTAACCAGTGGAGGTATTGGTGTTTGGAGGTACCCATCCATTTATCGGACTCGCCTACTACCGTGTAGTCTAGCCTGTGTGAGACTACATGACGCTCAACTTGATTGTGCTGCCAGTCACATAACATGTCCTCTTCCGCATGGATGAGATGGACCCGGCATCGGCCAGGGGTGGCCGCTGTTTGCAGAAGAGCAAACCCCCCCTTTGGCATCGCCACTGCTCCAAGCTTGGCGGAAAGTCGACATGCTGGGAAAAGCCTGCGAAGGGCCAGGAAGATGACTGCACCCGTATAGCTACCTGTGCTAAAACCTTCCAAGCTAAATTCTGCGGGGCAGTATAGCCCAGCTGCACTAGTGCTGCGGCTGCTTTTTTTGCAAAAGCGGGAGACACGCTAGTATTCTTTCCGGCTGCAACGCTAGGAGTTTCCACCAGAGTCCATTAAGAAATGTCACATGCGGCAGTCTCCTGTGCGCCGGCAAGAGCCGCGCCGCTTCTAGCATGATTTGTGTTCTCCTATAGAGTAGTGATGCCCGGCCGAAACCAATCTCTTGCCATCGCACACATGGTTGTATAGTGAGCGACATGAGCATAGCGAGTTCATGGAGGCAGGTAGTGGCACCTGCTGCGACTCCTGTGATTTTCTCCCCCGGCCTGTCTACGGGTGCCAGCGAGGGGCCATAAACGCAGGTGCCGTGCACTCTCGGGTTTGTACAATGGAAGGTGGGGACGTCCGGTCCGCCCAGGGTGCCTCCTCCAAGGCCTCCGCACTGGATCTGCACACAGTCCGGAGGCAGGGCAATCGTGGTTGTGAGCCAGAACCCTTGATGTTCAGCCATGTGCCTGACAACTGATGCCCAAAGGCGGGTCTTTTCCATACTTTTTACCTGGACGTTTAGGATCAGGGATGCTAAGGTCTCAACAGGTTCCGGCAGGGTCGGAATGGACTCAATTGCCTCTCTGAAGGCGGCATGGAACTCTTCTTGCCTGGGTTCTGGAAGGAGGCCAACTGCGTGCAAGACCCCATCGCGCAGATTAGGTAGCGGTGCTGCTTGCACTTCTGGGATTCCGACTTGCTTGGCAACGGTATTCCATGGTACAAACAGGTATGGCACGCACTTTTGCGGATCCGGCAGTGAGAGATGGTAGCGACCTGCTGCCTGTGACCCACACTCTTGGGAGTGCTGGTCTGTGGCTGCCTGCAAGAGCTGTCGAACCAAAAGTTCTTCATTCGTTTCCTGTGGGGGTTCAAAAGGCTCAAGATCAGGGTCTACTGGAGTACCACCCCCCCTCGGTGTATGCAGGGGGTCTGTGGCAATTGTGTGCCATTGCATCAGAAGGCAAAAGAGTCTGCACTCAGCCAATCTTGTACAAAGATGGCACAAAGTACCATGCTAGGAAATATTTCGGTTTCACCTGTTTCACCAGGGCCATGCATGTCTGGGTAGTGACCGTTGATGACCGCTCTATCCATCCCGATTTGCACATTTGCACGCCCCCCAAGCTCCTGCCGCTGCCTGCCCCTGCTTGCGGGAGGTCTGTAGGTTGCCTGCAGCTACACCACCTCCGTGCCCATGACCGGCCACAGTCGCCTTTGCTTGTGCAGCCGTGTGTAATAGCTGTGCCGTAGGATGGCTGTTTTCCAAGGCCTGTATTGCATTGCAACTCTTGATGACCGATGACGATCATTACTGATCTGAAGTGCTGCAAGTAGTTCGCACCAGCTGATCTGTCGAACATTCGGATATGGCTGAAGTGCCTGCAACCTAACCTGGCAAGGGCGACCCTGCCCCTTGTCTGCGAAGTCCCGGGACATTGAGTGGCATACTTCGTGAATTCAGGCCCGACTAGTTAGTTCAACGATCTTTCACGTTTCACATGTCTCACCTTAGTACAGTGCGAAACTCTGCCCACATTGGTTGTTGGGGTCCTCTGGTGCTGGTTTTTGCTTTGGGGTTGGGGTGTTTGGGGGTTGTTTTTGTGTTGGTCTTGTGTTTTCGGTTTGCTCCAATATGCAGAGTTTCCATCCTTCCCATGATGACCTGGGCACACCGCCCACATGGCGTCCGTACTCGTGCAAAAAAAACATCCACTCTTGCCATCTGAACAATGTTCAATCTCCACTTGCGCTTGCTTCAACCCCCAATCCAAGAGAGCCCTGAGCATCTTCGAGTTGAAGGTTCGGTGAAAGGATGTCAAAACCAGCAACACTTGAAAGGAGAAGAGACACGTCAGCACAGAAACTCGGATCCCTTCAACCTCAGCCACTGCCCACAGTTCAGTCGGAAGTGCAGCTGCTTCAACATCACAAAGATCAGTTCGACGTGTTCATATGTATCATGTTGGGACACCACCTCATCAAAGACCAGAACAGTTCACTTTGTCTGAGGTGGATTCAGGTTCAGAGGCAGATTAGGTGACACTGACTGGACATGTGAGAGTTGTTTCAGCAGATGTGCAAAAACCTTTTCCTTGTGTGCATTGCAACATTTTTGACGCAGAAAATGTTTCTTGTGAGTTTGAGCTGCTTGAAGACGACCCGTTCCACAGGTGGTTTGGACAGGTGCACGAATCAGAGCTTTTGCATTGTGAGAGTAAGAAAGAAACGGAAGAGACCATGCATGTGAGGAACAGTATTTTTTTTGCACGGGTGGAGACGCCATGTGTGCAGAGATTGTACAGGTCATCTTGTGCTAAGAGTGAGCTACCGGGCAGGATGCGAGAACAAGAAACGAAAAACACGAACCAAACACAGCACAACCAAAAACACAACCAGACCACGAAGCAACCTGGCCGCATGTCGCTCGTGAAGGTCCTGTAGACCAGAAAAGAGTGGGAAGGGTGAGACATGGGGCTGCGAATTGGGCAATTGCTTTGTCCAGGATCTGTACGAACTTCCCGAACCGTCCTTGTTCGGAACTCGTTTCGCCAGTGTCCAAAACCATTGCAAGTCGGGCACCTGTCCGGATTCATCTTTCCCCTCTTCCTTTGCTTTCCTTCTTGCCACCTCCTTTGAACCACGAAGTCCAACTCCATGCGTCAGACCAGCTTCCTTTTCCTTTGTTCTTTCCTTTTTCCTTGTCTTTGCCACCTTTGCCTTTGTAGATGACGGCATCCACCTCCATGGGGGCCAATCTCATGTTGTCTGTGTTGCTGTTCTGCTTGTCACCGACTTCATCATGTCTTCAACACTCCAAAAGCCTTGAGCTCCTCTCATAGCGTGGAGTCCGAAGAAGGCAGACTTGCACGACAATGTTGCGGACTGCCAGTGCAGGACGTCATTCTCAATTCCAATGCACAAAGCTTCCTGGCAGGTAGGAGGCTGCTGCTGTTCAATCACCATTACAGAGTCTTCATTCTTCCTCAGGCTCAACTCCACTCGAATCTCTCTGCCTCTGAGCGAGGCCGGACGGAACCCACAACGAACTTGCAACTCAAGACAAAGGAGCCAACACACATCTGATAAATGTCCAGCCGGAGAACCACCTTGATCCTCCAGCCACCGCCGGTTCCAGCACGAGAAGGCCAACAGACCCAAGGACCACCGCCAAAGCGGTCAGCCCCAAAGAAACCAGCTTATCCGCCACCAGGCTTCGAATCAAAGGCCAAGGCATCGGAGAAAGCCGGATCAAAGGCCAAAGCGCCGGAAAAGAAAAAGGCAAAGGCCAAGGAAGCCAAGTCGGGTTTACGTCCCAAGAGGGCTGTTGCAGAAGAAACTATCCGCAACAAAGTATGGAAGATCCAACAGGGTGAAAAGGCGCAAAATCATTTGCAATCCTAAGCCTCTCACGCCGCTTTGGGGCATGGGGAGTTGTGTGAAGGACGCGAATTACCCCAACAAAGCTTTGATATCGGTTCCAACTTCATGGGACATTCGTTCATGTTTTGTTTTCAATCCACGCACTGATGAGATCATGTTTTTCACCTGGCTTGCACTCAGTGCATCTATATGTGTGTTTTGCGTCTTGTGGCTAGCCGAATGCAGAAGCTTCGCATCCTGTTGTCGTCAATGTTGACCTCACTCCAGTGTGCGCAAACATTTCCAATGTCGCTAAAGGTGCCTTTTTGCAAAAGAGCGAGTTGTGGCTCTCGTGGATGCGGTTCCCTTACATATGCCTCTCGTCCCTGTTGAATCAGCTTCGACTTGCGCTGATGCTCCAAAGCGCCCGGGCCAACCCCTGAGCGTGAAGGATACTCAGGCACTCGAGCACCCCAGTTGTAAAAGAGCGTTTGCAGGCACTCACGCAACGTGTCTTTGCACTGCAAAGGCCTTAAAAAGTAGAATGACGTGTGCTAAGGGAGGTGCTAGACACGCTTCTCGGACTGGAACAGGCGCAGCAACTTGGGTGAAATAAAGAAATGTTTTCCTCCACTCTTCTAAATTGTTCTCTCAAGTTGGGAAAAGTAATTTGCGTAGTTCCACTCGCATTTTAAAGCTTTTTGGCCTTTGGTTTTCAATGTGTTTTCTTTGCCAAGTTATGTGTGTTCCGGGATGCACAATACTTGCAACGGAAGCCGACAAAACATATATTGACAGATTTCACCACCCACGGTGGGCGTTTCTTTTGGCATATTTCAGGCCAGCTTGGATGAAATTCAAGCCACCAACTATTTTTTGGAATGTGTTGCGCTGGCAAAATGGCATGCTGAATGTTTTGTCGCACTTCGATTTCAATCTGCAACTTTACCTTGTTTGATTGTTTGCTTTTGGTTCCAAGGCGCTTTGAAAGGCTGGGTTTGTGTGCCCCGGCAAGTAAGGTGACACAAAGCAATCCAAACTAATTAGATTCGAACATTCCTTTTTCATTGGTAATAAATGGAGCGATCCTTAGACGCAGAGAATGATTTTTCCACAGTCAAATTGCAACATACTGTGTGGGGTTTGTTTCCTGTCAACACATGCTGTGGCTCCGGCGGCTGTCGGTACGTGTGACATGGCTGCAAAATCGATATCTTGTCATGCATGACACCCACATGGTCGTGATGCAACATTGCGCCTCAGTACTTGGACATTTGTGAGATCTTTTTGAGCAGGTGTCCTTTGTTGCCAGTGGCAGGTGGATGGTTTCAACTCAGTTGTGCAGATCCCCGAATGAGCAGCTCAAACGTCCATTGGTGCTGAAAGCTTGCAGTGGCTAGTCCGGTGTACCATCAGACATCCAAATTGTTTAGAGATTCACAGCAAACATAGTTGGTTGATTAAAGAGAAACATCGCAAGAATCCTTCGTCATTGGCAAAATGAAATGTCCACCAGTTGAATACATGTTCATTCTTATTTTTTCCTAACGGGCGGTTTTGTGTTCAGTCGGATGTGTTCATTCCTCCTGTCTAAGGTTTGATGCACAGGAGGAACCAACCCAGTGAAAAGGCACTTTTGTTTGCCACCATTTCAGTGATTCAGACAGGATATATCGAACAAAATGAAGTGCCGTTCCTCTTGTTTGTTTTGCTCAATGCTTGTTGAATTTATTTGCTTGAATATTTGCTTGGATCCTGTGAAGAAAGGTGTTGTCAATTTGCAATTTGCCCGGGCCAGGTCTCGCAAAGTCCAGACATCCGGAACTTGCAAGAAACTGTGCCTTTGTGGTTTGGTGCCAAGGTCGTTTTAGACAACATGAAGAATCATGCTTGGTTTGTTTGTCTTGACAATGGAACATAACATGCACAGATTCCTCAACCAGCAAATTGCTGAGGTGCACGCGAGAAGCATGAAACCCAGTGTGAGACGAAAAGACACGGCTTCCTCAGTCTAGCACCAGATTATTCATGCTCAGGAGCCGGCACCGTTGCTGGGCAGCAAGACACTTATAGTGGACTTATCTACAACAGTTCCCAAGTAGGTATGAACAATTTCCGGTTCAATATGAAGGGTATATATATATATATAGGACAAACTATCTGTTTTGGGGTCATAATCTACATTGATCGCGTTTCATAGCCAATGCCAACATCTCCAGCTTGCACTTCTACCTCCTACGTCTTACGCTTGGACACAGTCAGGGTTAAAAAAATCCGATGCATTCGCAGGGCGTTGTCTGAAGCAGAGGAACGTCTCAGAGGTGAGGCTGCAAAAACGAGGAAATGGACGTGCGGCTCCATTCGCCCTCTTTGTTTTGCAGGCGCCTTGGAGGCATTGGCCACCCTGAAGGCGGGATGCGTTGACCAAATGGAGAATGTGGACTTCAGGCACTTGAAGTGGTTGGGTCATCACCACCTCTCTCAGACTCGAAATGTCGCCCAAGTTCGGGACGCGTGGGATCGGGGACTGCTAGGGATCGAGCAGTCCAAGGGCTCCAAAGGCGCTCCACTGGGAATTGAACCATGAAGAGCTTCAGCTTTTGCCAAGCCATTGCTGCCCAGTCGGAGAGCCAGCCTGAGACACCAGTCAGAAGGCGTGGGGTGGGTTCAGGTCAGCTGAGCAAATGTGACATGAAGGGCACCTAGACGCAGGTGGGAGCGCCGAAGAAAGGTCCGACTAGTGTCGGAAACATCTCCTGGGTAGGGCATCCCAGGTGAGTGATCAAGCCTTTTCAAGCAGGTTTCATTGGATGTTGACTCCCGTCTTGTTGAGCTTGCTCAGGCCGCTCACACCAATGTCTTTGAGCAGAGGCGAGAGGCTTGGGGCGGACACCACACCTGTGAAAATGCTGCGGCCGCAATGCCAGGACACCGGAGATGCACTGCTTCCATTGCTTCTTAGAAAGCTGAATGAATCTCAATCTCAATGAATCTCACAATTTCTGGCTATGGACTTAAGGAAGGCAAGAAAGAGGTGGTCTTGCCACACGTTGAGCTGGCAGGACCTGGCTGCCACACTGAGAGTTTTAGAAGACTTGGCCTCTGCTGCAGATGCGGCTGCGGAAACATGGCCTGTGGGAATCTCAGTGTAGCAGCTACAGAGCTGATTGCGAAGTAGGTGAATGACTGGCTAGCTTGATGGGTTCATTATGTGAATTGAAGAGTGCAGCAGAGCATCAATAGCTCTTGCTAGGATTGCCACAGCCGCCCTACCATGCCTCGGAAATGTCACGAAAAACGGCGGGAGAAGCCAGGTCTGCTGGGATCTCTGCCGCAGGCTACGCCACAGCGCGGTGAGCAAGCTGGCTGAGCTGTTGGAAGCTCAATGCACTGTAAGCTCTTATGATGAAGGCTTCCCTGGGCAACATGCAGGTCAAATGATATCTGCGTCTCGTGAGTTTTGTAGAAGTCCTTTTGACCTAGATTCCGTAGGTTCTGTGTGCATAGCGAGAACTCCTCGTATCATCGAATGCCTAGTATCATTGAAGTTTGTATTTTCCCAGGCATGGTTGTCTTTCTGGTCCATTATTGTAGCCGGCCAGGTTGGTTTTTCAATGAGTTCTGAAAGCGGGGGACGTGATTCCTATGATCCCTATGAGACACCTAGACCTAGATGCTCTAGGCAAACATTGAGAGGCAAACAGCCTAAACCTTGCTGTACCCAGACAGTGTGCAAGTTTCAATCAGGAATCCGAGAGCCCATGCATGGAGCACCTTAGAGCCTAAGAGCAAAAATACTGAGCACCCGGCTGACCTCGCCAGCTGGAAAAGGGAATAGAGCTATGTCAAGAGACAGAGATAGGGAACACTTTGAAAGAAGTCGAGCAAATCATGGAAGAGGGCAAAAAGATGGAGGCTTTGGCTATCAGAATGGGGGCAGAGCCGGGTAGAGCAAAGCCTCAATGAATTGACTAATTCCAAGAAACCCACAAAAGAAGGGACTGACGGTCAAGCAGGAGGAAGGAACAGATCTTAAGGGCAGTCTCAGACAAAGACAGAAGCGGCCAGGCACGGATGACCACGGCAACTCCCTAGGTCGATGTGCGGGCCAAGCGCCACCCCAAGCGCCAGCGCCGGGCTTCCAATGGCTCAACCGATGCGGTGCCAAGCTGCAAGCTGCCGTATGGGCTTCCATCATTCGGTTCCAAGTTTCAACAGATCACCCAGGACAAAAGAAGGCAGTTATTCACCTTCCCTTCGAAGACATGCGACTCAGAAAACTCACGTGAGACATGAAATTACGGCACGCATGACCGTATGACGCATGTCAGGTCGTGTCGGCAGTGTCACCAATTTTAAGCGCAAACTCAAAGCACCTTTCCGTGTTCTGGCTTAAGGCACGCTGCCTCAAACTGAACACCTCCGAACGAGCTGAACACACAAAATGCAGCAAAATAAGCGTTCAAACCAATCCCAAAGAACACCCCCCATCAGGCCACCTTTGGAAGCTTGCCAGCACGTACACGAGAGAGAGAGAGAGAGAGAAAGAGAGTTTGAGAGAGTTTGAGAGAGAGAGAGAGAGAGAGTGAGTGAGTGAGTGAGTGAGCGAGTGAGTGAGTGAGCTGATGGTCTCCCATCCCATTCTGGGCACTGAGGCGCCAACGAAACGAGGCGAGGAGATCCCCTGGCCCTGGTTCGGTAGACTGGTTGATTTTTCCGAACTGAACCCTTGGGGTCGTTGCCACGCCTGGGAGGACTTCCTTGGGGTCGCAGCTACACACCCTTTCGAGATCTCATTTTCTCATTTTCTGCCCGTCCTGAAGGATGGAAGCCTATGCTCCAAAGTCCTCGCGCAGGCCGGAAGCGCCGAGTTATACTATATATCAGAGCCGCTGCATGCTCGTTCCAAGAGATGTTTCGCTTATCTATTTTTAACTAAACCACTTGAGCCGCTGCATCCGCGACGCTCTTGTAAGCTATACCGTTTCGTTGGACCGTCTTGGTTCTTTTTTGGGGTTGATCGCTCCCGCGAGGTGAAATCCGATGCAGTACGGACCCTAGTTACATGGTGGGCTGAACTGGGTCCTGTCTACAGGTCTCCACTGGGGTCCCAGCGCCGGTGCAATCGGCGGCACCGACCGGCGCCACGCTGTTCGGCTCAGCTCGAGGGTCTCTCGCGGCTGTTCATGTGAGGTCTTGGGCCTCGAGCTGCTGGAGAGCTCCGTGACCAACGAGAGCGCTTCGCACGTGGCGGTGACCGGGTGTCGCACGAGGTGCTCCGCGGCCAAGATTCGAGAACTAAAGGCCGGATAAACCAGTCTGGCTGATTGAGGACCTCACCCGGGCCAAGGGATTTGCGATGTAGAGATCCTGAGGACAGGTGTGAAACAACACTTTCAATTTGGTTGGATTATATAAGCAATTATTCTCAATCCAGGTGAGAAGTGAGTTTGTCACGACTTGCCAACCATGTTCGTCCCAGAGGAACTCCGGAAGATCTTGGGAGCTGTGGTTGCCTAAGTCTCAACTCAGGAAGGCTGTGGGAGGGTTTTGGCGTTCCTCAGGTTGCTCGGGATATGGAAGATACATTGCATGGCCTTCGTGCCAAAAGGCCAGGCCACTTTGTAGCCTTTCGTTGTTTTCACATCCTAATCCTGGTGACACCACGAGAGGTACGCGTGGCCGAAATGAATTTCTGGGGACCATTCTATGAGAGGAATGGCAATTGGGGATGGGCATCATGAATCATGTGGGAAGAAAATAGTGCCAGCGACAGAGTTTGACGATGTTTGACGTATCAAACAAGTGCAGACGAGCTTCAACTCAAGCAGGTCACCTTACCTTTTGAGTGACCTATGAACAATATCAGCTTGAGCTGCTTGAGCTGCTTGAGCTGCTTGATCTTGTTCCTCTCAAGTCATCATGAGACTGAACAGAGTAGCCGGGTAGACCCTTCCGCTTATCGTTACCATACACATGTTGCGAGGCTGGAGCAGCTGGAGAGATTCTTAATTGAAGAGATTCTCAAGACCAAGAGAGTCAGTCAGAAGCTTTTCTCAAAATCAAAGCAACATGCTGTCTAAATTTTCTTTTCTTTTTTGACAGTGTTTGGTGCAATGATTCTAGGAGGCCACCACAAACTGTACCATTCTGGCTGACTTTCATTATTTCGATATGGTGACACAGGCCTCAGAAAGCAGTTCTCCTGTTTTTTCTGGGCAGGTTGCTTACTGGTGGCCTCCCTCTTCTCAATCCTCTCACAGGAGCTCTAACCTGCCACTTCGTGGTGTTTGTTCACGCATTTAGCTGCTTGTTCCACATACCACAGCTTGCAGAGTTGGAGATGAGGGTTGAAGTAGTGACTAGTGCATTGATAGCAGCCGGACCTCCGTGTTGCAGGCGCGTGGAGGCCTCTCCACATTCTTACGTGCAGACATCGATGTCTTGGAAGCAGACGACATTTGCCTTCCTCGAGGCACCCACGATGTGCTTTCTTGAAGAAAAGGTTGTTTTGGAGTGTTGGAATCTTCCAAAGCAAGCACTTGTCAAATTGCATTCAAGGTGATTTGGTTGCAGAGTCCGTAAAGCTTTTCTTCTCCACTCTGGTGGTCTCAGGCGTTCGCTGTGCCTTTAGTGCTATTCAAGTTCGAGGACAGCACAGTCGCAGTGCTGCACTTCCTTAGAGTCGGGAGGCATGGACAGCGAGACCATAGTCCGAGCAATCATCCGCTCTCAGGAATTTGTTCATTTTTCCCGAAACAGTTTACTGTTGGGGTTCTCAATTCTTTCTTAAGATGTGTCCGCCCTTTGTGTCACTGCTGGTGTCCGCCCTTTTCCGCTGGCGATGCAGCATTTCTATTCATTTGTCTCCCAGGTCTGTCACTGGTGGTGTCCG